TGAGTAGTAATATCGTTTCATATAATCTTTCTATTCATTCCGTCTTATCTTTTTTCCTTTTTTACTAATATGAAAGAAGTCAATAATCATAAACCAATGTCATATAGGAAAAACAAAGTACTTTGTCTTTTTATATTTTATCTCTTATGCACGCATGGATCTTTTGTCAACATACTAAAAACATTAATAACTTAAAATAGATTTTATAAACACTAGAAAAAAAAAGAAATGAACAAATATTTCTTATGAAGAATTTAAGTGATGCAAAAAAAAAAAGGACAAAAAAGAAATTGCACTCAACCATTCGTACATCCTTTCGCCTACGTGTAAATTCCCATCATTATTATTAAGTAATACGATTCTTTATCTCATGTTAAAGTATATAATTTTACATAAGAAATATAAAAAAAAGAAAAAGTGAAGTTGACATTAAAACAAAAAAATTATAAATTCATTGACATAATCTAAACATGATAATTTTTTTCTACTAGCCCAAAATATTTTTGTACCATATAATAACTAGACAATCATCTATACACGCATCTACAAACACGAAGAGAACAACTAGACATATTATATATATATATATATATATATATATATGCATATATATCTCTCATTCCTATCGACCGACTAATGGGATAAAAGTGCTTACTTAAGAAAATAAGACACAGTCAGACATATAATTGGACATAGTAGTTATAGAAAAAAAAAACTTATTTTTGTCTTTCTTTGAAAGTCGAATTATATCAATTGAAGATAAGAGTTAGGGGTTTTTTTTGTTTTCAAAAGATAATCACTGACAAGTATTAAAAAGAAGAAAAAAAAAGATTTTATGTTAATAAAAAAAACCTTGTACCTGAAGTGTTCATTATCACTCACCGCTCGAAAATAAATGTGACAATTGATCATGATGATTGCGTGAAAATAGCGACTGTCTATCAAATCAAACGTACACTATTTCATTATACATTTTCAAACGTTTGCAGAATGTTGTCGTCAACAATCTTAACGCGTCTTATATCCTTACGACTCTACTCCCTTGTCGTCTTATTTTGTTGTTGTCGTCGACCCGTTGTATGTCGCACTGTTTCTTCTTTGCTTCTTCTTCTTCTTCTTTTTTCTTCTTTTTTTTTTTGTGCGAAAAAAGTAAGAGACGTAGAAAAAAGAAGAAGAAGAAGACGAAGCAGAAGAGCAAGCTGTGCGCACTAACGTCTTCGTTGGTATCAAAGCAACACAATGCTTATGGCATAGACATATAACGATACAAAACAATCGAGAACGACGACGATAAAAAAGAAGAAGAAGGAATCCCAAACAGCGCGATAGAGAGAAAAACGTTTTTTTGTTAGGAACAAGAAAACGTGTAGATCCTCCTACGCAGATAATGTTGTCTTACATTATTAGCAGATTGTAACTTGCTATCTGAGTGGTTTAGACATAATATAGTATGTTAAAGTTAAGTATTTTTCTTTGAAAATTAATTTTACTTTTTTTTTTTTTTTCGATATAATTTTTGATCTAGATGAATTTCAATTGATAAGAAAAGATTTTATGTTATGCATTCCATGCAAAAAAAAACAAAAAGAAAAATACACAACATGTATTTATTCATTTTTACTTAATAGAAAACGATCAAATAGTGTTTGATTTTTCTCTATCATGCATGATCTTTGTCATCATCATGATTTTTTTAGTTCAAGTGTCAAAAAAAGAAAAGAGAATGAGTGCAACATAGAGAGAAGATGAGATATGAAGAGAGGAAATATTTTGCCTGTTTTTATATATGCAATGATCCAATGAATTGAACCTTTACTGTTTCTAATATTAGTATATGTTAGCGTGTTACAAGAACCTAGATCATAGAACAATTCCAGTTAAATATATATATCTCGATGTGTGAAAAAAACAAGAATATTGTTCTTTTTTCCTCCCTTGTTGTTTTTTTTTTTGTTAAAAGACTATGAGGACAAAAAAGCAAAAAAGAATTACTAATTTTTAGCTTTTCTAACATTATATTACAATAGACAATTTCGAAATAAAGCATGCATCTTAAATAGACATAATAGAAGAATATTCGATAAGAAAACAAAACAAAAAAAGAAAATTTCTTGTCAACTCAATCATATTTTCTATTGTTATTATTCTATTAATTAAATTAGAAAAATTGAATAATCAAATACATGATAGACTTCAAATCTTGCATACTAACAATAAATCAAAATAGATAAATTTATTAACATCATTAATTTCAATAGAAATGGGGAAAAAAAAAACTAACAACAATAGAAATCACCTTATCATGTGTGACCAAGCAAATAAATTCTTGATGGAATGTTCATTAGAATACATTATTATTATCTTACACAAAATAAAAGTGATATGTTGCTCATTTTCTTCGTCAATAATATGAAATATATATATCTATTCAAGTATTAAAAGAGAAATTGTCTAATGATACTGCCAGCAATTTTACCACCTACTACTATTGATATGATATCAGTCATTTGAAATTTACTGTGAGAATAAAAAAAAAAAAGAAGAGGTGATACATGTTATTCTCTATGTCACCTTTACTGATCAATGTTAAGATATTATTTATATTTTATGGTTGCTACTTTTCCTAGACACACCCACATATCTTTGTATAATATTCATCGAATAAAATTCATTCATTTTTATTACCAAAATTATTCTTTAATATATTTCGAATAAAGGTAATCAAATATACATAAATATGATAATTTAATAATTTATCAATTATATTTTTTTGTCAATTACTTCAAGACAGAAACAAAAATGCTATATTTATAATTTACTAGTGTAAAAGAAGTTAGAAAAAAAAACATATAATTTATTTAAATAAGACAAATCATTCAAATTCTAGTAAGAAAACTATTATAACACTAATAGATTTTTCTATTGTATCTGAATTGATTAAACTTAATTTTCTCATATCTACACAAAAATTCAATGAATTTTTTTTTTTTACAATTTTTATATTTCAGTTAGATGTCTTGTCATCGAAAATAGTCATAGGTATATTCAATATTACAAATAATAATTTGTTAATAAAGTCATGTTCTGGTTTTTTCTCCCCCATCTTCGTTATTTCAAATACAATTCATATGATTTTATTGCAATAAAGAAATGCCAGATAAAAAAAAAGTACAAAAGAAAAACGAATAGATGCTCGAGATTTTCTAGTAGGGCTCAAAAAAAATCAAATCATGCTTTTGAAACTATTCGGTTAACAGAATTGAAAAATTAATTACTATTTCGATTATCTTTGCAAGATTCTACTAAATGATTAATACAAGTATCGAAAGGATGATCTACAATTGTCAAATAATGAAAAACAAAATATTCACTATATTGATTTTGGCAATAAACTTTTAAAATATTAGATATCTACAACAGAAAATTTCTCATGAGAAAATACAGAATACAAAAAAAAAATCAGAAGTAGAAAAATAACTTGCTTCTCTTTTCTAATTATATGGTCTACATAAATATGACTCATAGAAAATTATTTACTCGTCAATATCGAGCACATGTATTAGGTAAAATCATGCACGCTAATAAAAATTGAGACATAGAAAAGTAATGCTTGATTGATTTTGGTGTCTCTACCCATGCTTATTTTTTTCATCTGTATACATCATATCGTCATCCATAAACCATGTTTTTTCTTTGCTAATTAGTAACACATTTATAATAGTACATAAATTATGGCAAATAGAGAGTCAAATATAAATTGTTAACTTCTAGAAATATCATAAATCATTTTGGTCATGATAAGTCCGTTAGAAAAAATCCAACAGTTACTATTATATATTTAAAAAACAAAAAAGAAGAAGAGTGGTGAGTATTTTTTGAATAATTTTTCATAAGAACAAAATAAAGAGAGAGAACTGCAGTTTTCATTGTTGAACAAAAGAAAACGATGTATCGTATTATATAGGATAAATTTTTTGTTCCATGTTAATTAAGGTTTTTTTCAAAAACAAAAAAATTCAGCTAGTCGAATGTATTGATAAAGTAAAAGTTCATGAACATATCACGAAAAAGTTAAAATTTCCCCTATTTTTTTCAAAAACTCGAGTAGAAACTCATAATAAAATGTCTATAACTTCTGTACAAATAAAGTTAAAAATCTAAGTCTTGTCTAGTTTTTTTGACCTCTCAATTAACGGTTATAATCTTTTCCCCAAAAATCGAAAATTCATTGTGATGACCAGACGTGATACACTGATTTCTAAAGAATTCGATTGTAAACAGTCAAGAAAATTTTCTAGAATAGTCTGTAATATATGATTTAATGTATCTTCATTGTCACTTCCTAGTTGTGAAAACTACAATTCTCTATCGTGTTCTTATAAAGAAAAAAAACTACTCAAAATACATTCACGATTCTTCTTTTCTTTGTTTGTTTTTTTTTTGAAGTGAAAATATTTCGATAAAAACTAACCTCTGTGATAAGATTTCATTATTATTTGGTATTTAAGTAAAATTTCCTTCGTGGGGAAATCAGCAAGTACAATGATCTTCACACAATCAAAAGTTGAAGACGTATATTGGTCATCAAAACAGAAATTATTAAGAACTAGGATGTGAATGTAGATGCAGGACTTGTCTTCGCCTACACTTACGCTCATATTCTCAGAGTTCAGTTCCACTTGGTACCTAGCAAAATGTAATTGACTGAGATACCTTTACTAAAACAATGGATAATAATTCAAAGGAATACTTTTCTGCAAAAAACAAAAACGAAGAGAGATTGAAAACTTCGATCTTATTTCTTTGTTCGCTAGAGTTCATATTTTGGTGATGAGTTTCATCTTTTAAAACACCTTTTAGCTTTTCATTAACAACTCTTTTGCCTTCTCTCTTTAGATTTTTTATATCCAATTAGATTTGTCCGTACTTAGTAGAGCAATCATTCAAAGGTCCATCACGAAATTTAACATATAACATTAAGATCGAAGATATTTTTATCGATGATTGCGACTATGACCTTGGACGAAGAATGGATTGATTGCGATGGTGATAAATCGAACGGTTGCAACATCGATCAATGGAGCGATTGCAACGGCGATGAAACCGACGATTATTCTAATAGTAATCTACTTTTTGTCATCTAAAGAAAAATTCGTAAATTATATGCAAAATGGTCTCATGGTTGTTAGAGATACAATGCATTACATAACAACAGTCAATTATCTTCATTTTTTTTCCCTTTAAAAAATTATTCATAAGTATCGACACTTAGTTTTTTTCAGCAATGAATAATCATAAATATCTATTTTCTATGAGCGTTGTATAATTATCTATGCATTACAATAGAGACCGAAAGAAAACTTAATTTTTTTTTCAAGAGATTAATATAATTGAGAAAAATTGTCTAGATGAAGGTCTATTTTCAATATCTGAAGGATATTTGTCATCTATGTAACAGAGCATGAAGAAGACATTGCTATTGATATCAGTTTATCTAACCATAGAAAATATATGTATTATAGAAGTCAGATAATAAAAAATTTCAATTTATTCATTTTTATTATAGAGGATGAATATCAAGCAAATGTTCACATGCTGTATCAATCTGAGTCTAACAAGTATTGCTCAATCAATACTAATGAATCTTATCTATGGAATCATGATAATTATCAGCATGTAATTGCAATTGATTTTCTTTGCGATATGTCTATGTTTATATTTTGTAGAATGAGCTAAAACATATTCAAAGCGCACCATGTGCAACCAAGGTGATTGTGACTGAAAAAACTTCCACTGACGAAGAAAGGTAAGCTGAACGAAATGATCTATAGGTGCTGTTTCATTGTGATTTATTGACAACTACGAATGATCAGATTTATCTAAATTTTCAACGAGTACTTTATATCGAAATAGTTTCTCTATTAAAGTCGTAGCACGAAAGAGGAGAAGAGTGATCGACTTACTCTGACCAAAATTGATTGATTATATTGCATTAAGGCCCCTAAAAAAACGTCAATTTTGGTTAAGTTTGTCGATTTTGTGATTTATAGTTTGTTAGATAGAGCTAAGTGACTACTTTCGAATGCACTATAGTTTATTGATTTTATGATGAGATTTAAGGATATTGTACAGGCTTTTCTGAACCTCCCATAGGAGAAAATAAGGTTTCTTCTAAAAAGTTTGGGTTTTTCTCAAAATAGAATTTTTAATTTTTACGTTCCCTTGCGTCTCAGATTTCTCCGCCATTTTAAACGCTAGAAAAGTCGGGCTGGTTTTAAAATGTAGCCAATATGTGGCACTACAACTTATCAGAGTCGAATTTTTCGATTTCTTCATTAATTTTTATAAGAAACCAACTTTTCTGGATCTACCCCCCCCATTGGATTTTTCATATTTCATCAGAGAAATTCTCTAAGAAACACAAGCTAGGAGAGAATCCAAAATCAGACCCTGTTAAGTTATTGCGCCACATATTGGCTACATTTTAAAATCAGCCCGACTTTTCTAGCATTCGAAATTTGGGACGCACGGAAACCTAAATTTTGACCCATAGCCTTATGCTAACTCTTCGTAGACTCAATGCGTCGAGCTAAAAATTTTACTGTGAGATGTCTAGCTCGAGATACATCTCCACTGAAATTTTCATCATGATTGGATGCTCGAAAAAAAAAATTTCATTTTAGAGGGATGGCCCTTAAGAATTATTGATTTTGGTCAAAAACTAGTCTTTTATAGTAACAAGAATAATTCACTATTCAAAAGCGATTTCAATTCTGCAGCTCTGCTTGTAAAATAAGGAAATATTCATATTGAAAAGTTTTCAACTGTAGTTTGATCGCTCGACAATGAACTACTTCATTTAGTCACATTTGACTGAAACGACAACTGTATTGAAATTCAAGAGTAAGAACTGCTATTAGAATGATTTATTTGTTCATTTTCACTTTTGAGTTTGTCATCAGAATCTTGTTTCGAAATTTTGCAATGCTTTCAGACAAACAATCTTTATCACTAGTACTTATAGAAATTTCGATTTTGAACTTACAAAAATGTATTCTTTTTAATGCTGATCAATCATCCATGTCGAAATGTGAAAAACCAGATAGATCACTTATGAACTTTTCAGTATGTTTTATTGTAGATTTTTTCGGGGAAAATGTATCTCGAATGTTTTCTGCTTTAATATCATTGTTAATTACCAAGGGGTAAAAAAAGCATACTTCTCCGTACTTCACATCTACAGAAGTATACTTTTTATCCTTTGTTAATTACTCAATATTCAAAAAAAATATAAATTGTACATATGAATATTCTCAATTGTAGTAAAATTTCTTCATCCACGCGCGAATGTGATGTTTGTTTCGTCGGAAAACCTAAACAAGAATTTTATCCTATATACAGTGAAACATGTGAACATAGTCGTCGTTATATTTGTAATTCATGTACATACGACAGTGTCAAAGTTATTCTCAATAGTGCTATGAGTAGCCAGATGCCATGTCCTGAAATAGACTGTTCGACAAAGTGGGATTCACATGAGATTCGTCGAGTACTCTTGGTTGCTAATGATAATTTATTGTTAAAAAAATATGATGCTTATCAAATCAGACAATACCTCGAAAATGATGATAAGTTTTTTTGGTGTGCTCATGAATGTGGTTCTGGTCAATATCATTATAGAAGATCAACTCGAAATCCGAAAATAACTTGTATCTTATGTAAAAAAGATACATGTGCCTTTCATCGTATTAAGTGGCATGAAGGCATGACATGTAATCAATATGATCGATTCTACCCATCTAGAGATGCAGGTACACGCAAATGGATTAAAAGATATTCAAAAAAATGTCCCGGATGTCAATCCAACATTGAAAAGAACGGTGGTTGTGATCATATAACTTGTCCAAAATGTCGATATCAATTCTGTTGGGATTGTTTGGTCGACTATGCTCCATTTACAAATCGTTCGCATGTTCGACATAAAATCAGTTGTAAACATCATATAATCGGAAAACTTGTGTCACCTGTTCGTTTTTTGAGTTTACGAAGGTCTCAATAATCTCAAATGTACACAGTCTTATCGAACTAATTCAGCACTTGTTTAAAACATTCTTTTCAATAATAGTCTAAGTTTTTTTTTCATCAATTACAAGCAACAAAAGTTACTGAGCTCATATGATTGTATTATTCCATTACTCAATTTAGTTTTTGAAATCTTCCTAAATATCATTGTTTGTTTTTAGTTTGGGGTATGTTTAAAAAAAGTACGAATATTTACATCTACACCTTAATAGATGTCTCGATTACGAAGATCTTCATAAATAATTACCATTGGTCATCTTCGATTCGGAAATCATGTTTTAATAAATCATTTGAAAAGAATTTTGTCCTTTAAATATCCTTTGACATATTGAATAAAAGATTTAATTTATGGTTTGACAATATTATGAGATGATGAATGCATAACTATTGAATAGTTTCATCAGATATAATCAATGAGTCAGATAATGTTTCATTAGGCATCGGAAGTTCATCATTATCGTGTAACAAACGAACGAGACCAACATTGAACCATGAACTGAGAGAAGAAAAAAGCTCTTGATATATGTAGAATGTCATTGAGAGGACCATTTTTAATATGATATTCGTACTAAAATCATTGATAGATCACTCAACGGAAAACCGATTTACGCTCATCTTCCTATTTACTTTCGACTAAATAGATCGGCAATTAATGGAATTACGCGTAAATTAAGAAGATTTTTGATTGAATGTTGTAAAGTGACAGGAGAAGATATCATTGTTCGATCAAGATGAATTTAAACTTTTGTCTGTGTTTGACAAACGATACGACAAAAAAAGAATATAAGACTAAACGTAAACATGAATATATAGACTCCAAAGACACGATTGAACTTCGAATAAGCACGACCTACGCTGCACAGTCCATGAGTTGATATTGCCAGTAGATAATTGAATGACGAACTTATTCAATAAAATGTCTTGGTTTACCAGAACCAACTATATAGTCTATTGTTATCATATCTTTAAGTATTCTAGAGACGTAATTATTTTTCTCGCTCGGTTACATTACTTCAAATGATAATTATTCAAAGTGCCGAGAGGAAAATAACGAGAGAAAGTATTTCTACAAAAAAATAAAATATACATTTGTGTGTGAATGTGGATGCGACTGTTTTTCTTCTCTTCATTGAAACTCACATACTCTCAATGGCATAGAATTGCGTGACAAATAATTAAACACATGAAACTTGATGCTTTTGTTGCAAGTACGAACCATTTTTTTTCAGAGTCTCACTTCATGTTCAACACTTTACTGACAGTATTTTATCTGAACATTTTAAAATATATGTTCCCAAATGTAGTTTTACATGTTGAATCCAAAGAAACCATTTTTGGACTTGTCAAGCAACAGAAACTGATCCAAATATCTGATGACATTGAACATTAAATGTCTTTCATCAATATTTTTCAAATCGAGGTTTTTTTCAGGTTTTAGCACTTCAAGAGAGCTTGAAAACTTTTGAACACACTCACTGTTGTACAACTCAATGAGTTCTATTTAACCATATGAACATATTAGGGAAAAATTTGTTACATTTTTGAATTATTGGCACTTTATATAACAACGAAGTTTTAATAAGGAGAGAGAGAGAGAAAGAATTAGGACAATCATATGTTAGATATCTGGATATATCTGGTAAAAAAAAGACTGTTTCATAATGAACATGTGTCGGTACATATCAGGATTGTCAGATTAAAAAGTTATAAATCGAAATTTTGGCGATGACGATTCAGAAATTTTTTATTTCAGTTTCGGAAAGTAGTAATTTGACATGTAAATAGAAATACTGTCTTTTTTTTTACTGAAATACCTTTTGCTCTATCAATATTTTATGTGAAAATTGTTAATGACATAGTTGTTTTTCTTCTTCACCTTCACTTATATTCACATTCAAATTCTCAAACTCATCAGTCGCGACTAAATCTAATTCAGTTTAACATATTAGAATTATGATGCGAAAAAAGAAAAATTCTTCTGAAACTTCGAAATCTTTTTATTTTGGCTACACTGTTTATTCAAATGGTTTATTTTAATAATATAGTCTGTTCAGTTAGGCTCTGAAAGGCTTTAAGTTCAAGAGAGCTTGTTAGAGCCCATCGGATCCGAGTCCGGAAATTCTTGGATCCGATGGACTCTAGAGCTTGTACAGTTAGTAATCTCAAAACTCTGTACTATATAATGATTACAGTAGTATAACGAAGATGTATTAATTACTGAAAAGACTAAGTTTCGAAGCTAGTAAAAGCTACAATTTAGGAGAAAAAACATAAAAATTCGGAATTTTTCCTATCATATTGGAAGATCTGACAACTCGAGTGCATATTCAATGGCATGATCTAATAATTAAAGCATAGAATATCATGAGAAATATTTCACTAGTTTGTCTCATCTAAGCGTTCGTAATTGAACTTGCATTCGAATTAATGTACAATACAACTAAGATAATCATATGAATCACATTTTTCATTGGACGAATCCGGATGCGAGCGTCGTTAGTAATACTTCTATCTCTTGCAGATCATCACCACAGGTGTGTTGATCTCTTTTGATACTGCATTCGATCGATCAGATTTGAAGAACAAAACGCTATAGAGCCTGAGTTTTTTTTTTGTGTAAATGTTCTTCATATAACGATCAACACATGAAACTCTTTCTTGTCACTTTTTAGCGTTATTCTCGAAACAATGAATTTTTCGGAAAACAAATTGATCAGTGTGATATTGAATGACGACTTTCTGTACACGATCCAAAATCATTCAAAATTACAGAACTTCTAAGTGAGAGACTACAATCTATCGTTCGTATGCAAATAAAAACTTCAAAGTAAAACACTATTAAAGATAGTTGTGATATACAAGTCTGTATATGTTGAATTGATGAATAGCAGTACTGTGAAAGTGACAGTCGAATGAATATTGAAAAAAGCAGAATGTGAGAGAGAGAGACAGCTGTGAAAATGAATTAAAACATCCAATTCCTTGCTGTAAGAATCACTATTCTAACTCGCCATTAAAAAATGACTTTGATTTTTGAATATATATTCTTGTGAAAGAGTACGACTATATTTCGTAATACTAAATCAATCTTTTGTAACACTTTCTCTTAATAACTACATATATATGACTCATAGAAAATCGGTCGTTCGTCAACATGTATTAGATATAATCGTGCAGGTTATTAAAAATTGAGGTATGCAAATGTAATGCTTGAATGATTTTGTGCTCTTTGTACATGTTTGTTTCTTTTTATCGATATATATATTATATCGTCATTATCAATTCATTTTTCTTTCTAATCAACAACGTGCTTATGGTTATAAACGGATAAATAATGGCTAATAGACATTCAAATAAATTACTAACTTCGGGATATGTCTGGAATCATTATGGTCCTGATAGATCAGTTGATAAAAGCCCAACTGGTATTATTATCCATTTAGGAAAAGAAGAGCGGTGAGTATTTTTGTTTTTTTGAATAATTTTTCTTAAGAACAAGATAGAGAGATCAGCAGTTTTCATTGTTAGAAAATGATAATGATACATTGTATCACATAGGATAAAAGCTCATAGTAAAATGCCTGTAACTTCCAAACGGATAAAGTTAAAAATTTGGGTCGTGTAGGTTTTTTTTGTTTTGGAGTATCCATTGAAGGTATTAATGTACTGTCGAAAATCAAAAATTCACTATGGTGACCAGATGTGATACACTAGTTCCCAAAGAACTCTATTGTAAACTGGCAAGAAAACTTTCTAGAATACTCTGTAATATATAATTCAGTGCAATTTCATTACTTCTTTCTAGCAGTAAAAACAAGTTCTTTATCATGTTTCTATTCAGAATATCCTTACAATTCTTCTTTTCTTGCTGCTAATGGAAATAGTTCTATTAAAGTATAGTTTTGCAATAAGATTTCATTATAGAAAGGATGAATATCGTCGAATTTGAACGTATATTTAAAGTGACAGACAAAATTTTAGAGTACTTTTTATTTCATGATTTTCTCTATGAAGAATAGCTTGCGGAGGACAACTAAATAATGATTTCGATAGCTCTCGAAATGAGCTGCAAGTCTATGAAGTCAAAATTCTATAAGACATGTATATTCGAATATTAATGACCGAAACTACTTTTTCCCCCGCGGACGAAATTTTAGAGCACTTTTAAAATTTTTTAATATTTTATTTATTTTTCGATTTTAAAGAATTATCAAAAACTCTTTTTCGGTGCTATTCAATGCAGAATTGAATGGACTATATTTTGGTAATAAGTAATTTTGAATATTATTAGTTCTGATTAAATAATATTAATTAATAAATATAGAAAAATTCTTGTTTTAATTTTCAACTTTTAGGTACAACATTCGAAAGAACATTAAAAACTGAACAAAATGGTATATTAATTTTATCGAGATAATTCATTTTAGTAAGATTGTAAATAGATTAGTATGAAAAACATCGTTAAAATTGTTCGTGAAAACTAAAAGCATTGTATCGATCGAATAATACGTCACACAGAAGTCAGCTAAGTCTCATTTTAAAGCATCAAGTCCGCTCTACAAAATAGACTATATTCCAAGTTTCAAAAGTGCCTTGTAGAGTTCATTCGTACTAAGATAATAGTGCGGTGGAGTAGTAAATTTTACTAATCTATTTACAATCTTACTAAAATGAATTATCTCGATAAAATTAATATACCATTTTGTTCAGTTTTTAATGTTCTTTCGAATGTTGTACCTAAAAGTTGAAAATTAAAACAAGAATTTTTCTATATTTATTAATTAATATTAATTAATCAGAACTAATAATATTCAAAATTACTTTGTACCAAAATATAGCCCATTCAATTCTGCATCGAATGGCACCGAAAAAGAGTTTTTGATAATTCTTTAAAATCGAAAAATAAATAAAATATTAAAAAATTTTAAAAGTGCTCTAAAGTTTTGTCCGCTGGGGAAAAAGTAGTTTCCGTCATTA